ATAAATTGTAATAGATTAGTTAGAATTGAGAGGTTTGTATAGATGTTATTTTGTAGTTGTTGTAATCATAGTCAGAATGTTAGTACGGGAATTGTTAAGTTAAGAAGGTTGTTTATAATTGACATGTGATGTGATTGCTGGAGTTGTTCAGAGTATATTAAGCTATATATTTGAAGATAAGAGAGGATTGAGTTTGGCATACTTTGGGCAAAGAAAGCTTTTTGTTTGACAATATTAGTATAGCAACATGTGATATGTTGGCAATTGGTTGATGTAAAGTAGTTGTTGAATAATTGGTATTGTAGTTTGGCTATTAGGACAGAATTAATTATGTAGATTGCTTGCTTCTCTGTGATTTTAGCATAATGGAGTTTGTTTAACTTTTAGATAAAGTCCTGTTTGATTTTCTTTAAGGCATGTTTGTTATTGATGGTATGGTCAATGAAGGTTTCAAGGAATCTAAATGACTGTTTAAATAGTAGATTGTATATTGAATGGTTCTGGAAGATGATAGATGTTGTATCTTCATGGTTATTGTAGAATAATATAGATTTGTTAGGGTTGACTGTGATCTTTCTATTTGGTAGAAGGATGATACTGTTGTGAGTATTTGTTGTAAGTTATTACAGTTTGATGAAGTCCAAGTTGTGTTGTTCATATAGGCAATGACAGATATTGAGGCTGATAGGGATGAGTTGGGTTTGTGTGAACTTGCTGTTAGTGTATATCCAGGTAGTTTTATTGAGATTTGTTGTATTAGGGGGTTATAAAAGATATACCATAGAATAGGAGAGATGGTTTTTCTATAGTCAATGCTATCTTTGTCTTTGTAGAATCATGTTTTTCTAAGAGATGTAATAACTTAACTATAACGATTAAGTAAGATGTAGAATATTAGATTAATGAATTGTTGTGGTACTTCGATACGAATTAGAGCTTGTTGAAGAAGTAGAATGTGGACTGTATTATAGGCTTTGGACATGTCTTGCGACAGGATTCAAAGTTCTTTGTTGTTTACATATGCATCCTCTTGTAGGTGTGTAATAGTTTGGATGGGTTGTGTTGTAGATGTTAGGGGAAGGGCTATATATGGGTGCCTAAATTGCCCATCTTAATAAAAAAATAATTACAGCATTTAGGCAGCCAAAATTATTCTTAGATAGTGCCGAAATTAATTTTTATATCTGCTAAAATTATTGCCAAAATTTTTTGAACTCTTTTCATCAAAATATATCATATAATATAGTTATTTTGAAGGGTTTTATATAAAAATTTAGCAATGCTGAAATGTTTGCCGAAAATACAATTTTTCAAAAATAATTTAGGCACTCATGTATAGGAAGGGCTATATTGTTAGTTGGGGATAATAAATTGTATTTGGTTAGAATAGTGCTTAGATGAGTGGTTAAGGTTTTTGTGAAGATCTTCTGAGAGTGTTTGATTAAGGTTATGAGGCAGGTTAGACTTAAATTTTCACTTTGGTAGCCTTTCTTGGGTATTGGCCAAACTAGGCCTTTGTGCTAGGTATTAGAGGTTATTTGTAAGTTGATATAAGTATTGAATATTTTTGCTAGAACTTCTATTGTGATAAGTGATAGCTTTTTTAGTATTTCATTTGAGACTAGAGAAAGGCCTGTTACTTTATTGTTTGGTGATATGTTAATTGTTTCTTGAATCTCTTGTGGTGTTATAGTAATAAGCAGATTGTTGTAGATTGAGGGGGTAACTGTGTTAAGAGGTTTATAGTAGGGTACCCACTGTGATCACAAGTTTTGGTCATAGGAGTTGTGTTTGGTTCATCTGCAAAAGTGTTGTGCGATGGCTTTTTTGATATCGGCAGGTAAGGTAAGTAGAGTATTGTTAGTTGTAATGTTGTAAAAAGTAACAGAAGTGTGAGTGTACTTGAGAATGCTATCGATTATCTTGGATATGTTATCCTGAAAATTAGTGTATCATTGATTGATATATGTTTGGATTTGTGACTATTATTTTTGTTATTGCATACCATGTAGAGAGTCTTTCTGAGGAGTTTAAGTTGGGAGATAGTTTGTAGGTATGAGTGTGATTCAAGATTATCAGGTTGAAGTAGTTTGCAGTTTGATTAGATAAACAGATCAATTTTAATAAGAAGGTAGTTAATGCGGCTTATTATGTGTACTAGGTGATAGGGAATAAGGTAATTGGTTATAATAAAGATATAGTTTGTTAGTTTTAGTGCTTGATGTAAAGTGGTGGCTTTAAAGATATGAGCATAAATTGTTCATGAAATGGTGAAGGTGTGTGGTATAAATTTATCTGCAGCTTGCTTAATTATGTTGTTTAGATTATTAAAAGTTTTGTTGAGTATACTGTGGTCAGTTATAAACAGGTTGGGTGATGATGGTACCTTAAAATAAGTTGAGATAAATGCTGAGTACTGATCCTAATCTTCTTGTGATGTTCGAGCATAGTTGTAAATTTTTCGGTATTGTTTTTTATAGTGTAGGGTCTTGTGTATTGGGATTGTGTTCCAGGTTGTTTTAACAATTTGATGGTTACTATTTGTTGAGTTGGAGGGGTCAATTAAGTCAGGAATAGAAAAGGTTAGTGCAATCTTTGGTGTTGTCCAGATGTTATCAATTTGACTAGTGAATTCATTTCTTTTCTATATAGATTCAGTTATATTGTAGAGTTGAAGGAGGCTGATAAAGCCTATATTGGTAAGGTGTTAAAGAAAGAGTGTTTGTTTATAGAAGTTGGGTCTGTTGGTGTTGTTATTAAAGTCATCGGCTATTATTATGTTCATATTGTGAAAGTGGTCATCGCTTATCTAAGAAGTAATTGTTTGTTAAGTGGTATATAATTGGGATGATATTGCTGAAGGTAGGTAGGTTGTGATTAAACAGATTTTATTATTGCTAGGTAGGAATAGATTAATTAAAAGTGCAAAGCCAGGTATGATAGTTAATTTGTAGATATAGAGGTGTAGTTTGGGTTTAAGTGCTATTACTATGCCTTTTAATGATTCTCTAATATTTGCATTTGTCAAGTCATAGTTAGAAGTATAAAGTTTGTATAGTAGGTTGGTTAGATATATAGTACATGTAGTTAATGCTGGCAGTTTGGTTTTGGTTATGAATGCGATGTATATATTGTGTTGGTAGTATTCCTCTAGCTATAACTGGAGTTTGAAATCTTGGTTAATATCTTGTATATTGTAGTTGAAGATATTAAGAGAGAAGATTGGTATTGAAGTGTTGAGATTTGTGTTTGAGTTATAGGATAGAGTGATACTGAGATTTGGTGAGTTAGTTGTTAGTGATTATGTTAACAGAAAGTTATTAATAGTTGGGGTTATAATGTTTATATTAAGTCTATTGGTTGATCTGGTATAAGGTTATTTTTTGTAGTTATGATCTGGATGGGGTGGTATAGGGTAGAAATCTTGGTAAAGATATTGTAAGAAGTATAGTTGTCAAAGATAGACCATTTGGGTTCTGGTAGGTCTAATAGGTTAAGTAGATAGTCTGGCACTAGATTGAAGTTGAAGTGTTCTTTGAGTTTATTTATATTGTCAGTTACAATAAGATAGTTCTGACAGGAGAAGGCTAAAGCAAGAGTTGGGTTAATTTGTTGGAGTTGTTGGTTTAGTTCTTGAAAGTTTTGGGGCAGTATTAGTTTGTCTTTATGTTCTCTTGAGCTTGTTTTATGTGAAATATTTATCTAGCTTGAGGGAATTTTGATAAAGTAGTAGTAGTTTCTTAGTTTTCTAGTGATATTTACAAGTTGCTTGGGTGAGGTAATTGGGGTTGTAAGGTTCATTTGGATAATTAAAAGTGGGTTTGTGGGTAGTTCTGGTTTATTGGTAGAATTAACAAGTATATATTTCTTTGGTAGAGAGATGCTAAAACTATATTTTTTTTGGATTTCAGCTAGAAATCATTTTGCTAGAGGTTTGTTAGTAATTGGGTAAGTATAAGTATGTTTAGTTTTGATTATATTAGGGTTGAAAGGTAGACAGATAAGTTTGATAATATAATCACTTAGAAGTTTTTTAAAGCTGTAGTGGGGCCGAAGTAGGTTTATGAATTTTTTGATATCTTCTGTATCTTTTGGTCTATAGAAGAAGAGATAACGAAGATTGTAAGGAAGTTGTTGGGATGAGAGTGGAAGTGATGGTTTTGGATTTGATGGTTGAAAGTAGTTAGATAGAATTTTATCAAAGTTGTATAATTTTTTAAGCTTTCTCCAATATTCAGACAGATAAGAGAGTGCAAAGCAGTCGGTAATAGGAAATAGGTCTTTGACAGTAGAGTGAAGTTCAATGAGGTTGCTAGAGAGTTCAAGTTGTGCTTCTGCAAAATATTCATCTGATAATTTTTTGAATCTGTATATTTTTCGTAGAGCTGCTGTGATTGCTTGTATGTGGTTTGTTTCTTTTATAGAGAGTTCAAAGAGTAAGTTAGATAAAATATCATCAGAGATTTTCTTAGATGTGTCTGGAAGAGGGTCAAGGTATTCTGTGTTTACAGTTTATATGAGTTTTTGGAGGTCTTCGAAGCTTGTAGAAATATTGATTTTGGTGAAATTGGCATAGTAGTAAATTTTTCATACAATATTATATAGATTAGTTTTAACAAAGTTAATATTAGTAATATAGTTAGTTGCTAGTTTGATCTTAAGTTTTTGCAAGATTTGGTTTCTGTTATTTTTATTGATGAATTAGGTGTTGTGTTGGCATTTATATTTTTCAAGGGCCATATTGTAGAGAGTTTCGAATTCTTTTTGGTAAAGGAAGTAGTCTGTTTATTATGAGTAAAAGATTTAAAGAAGGCTATGTCAAAGTAGTTGAATTTAACTTGTATTGCTGTAGGTAGGTTTAAGCAAGTAGGTTGTCTAGTGACTTTGTAGCTAAGAAAGGTATATAATTTAGTTGTATCCTTAAGTATATTAAGTATAGTTTCATTAGTCCAAGTATTTGAGTCAAAAAGTTTGTTTCGGCTTGTTATTATTTGGGCAACTTGGATGCTCCATAGTGCTGATGGTTCGAGAGTAAGGGTTTTCTTGGCAGGTGATTGTAATTGGAGCATCTGGCTATAGGTATGAGGTGGGTCTAATAGAGATCGGGCAGTTGGTTCGGTATCTGGGGGTCCTTGGGATAGTTCTGGTTTGGTGATTTTGTACAGAGGTTGGGTGTATTTGGGGTATTGCTTTTAAATTTAGTTAAGTAGTAGGAATATTTTTATTGAGTTGGGATCTGTTAGTTCAGGACCTGACAGGTTTGGGTTTGTTGTTTTGTTGTTTTGGTTGGGAGATGTCACGTGATCATTGTTGTGTTGTAGATGATCGGCAAGTGGGGATGAGCTGTTTTGCCTACTTTTTCAAGTGTATAAAGTTAGGCAAGAGTTGGTATAGCGAGTTTTAGAAAGGTTGTTTCTTTTTGTTGTATTAGGTGTTGGTTGTAGTATTATTGTAGGTGGGTTTTCTGTAAATGGGTTTTCTGGGTTGTAGGTTATATCCATTCGGGCAATACCAAATATTGAGTCTGTAACTAATTTGAGGATAGATTTTCTCTGTGACATTGTAGTAGATAACTTTATAAGGAGTGTGACAAGTATATTGGAAGCCTCATTGGTTTCTTCTAGGTCTTCTATTTTGTTTATAAAGTTTTCTCTTGTGTTTATAGCTCAGACTAACTAGCAGTTCTAATATTGAATACTTAGATTTACTAAACTTTTTCTTGTTTTGTTTACTTTTTAAATTTTTCTATTAATTTCTTGACAAAAGCTTTTAAAATTAATTGAAATAATACTTGTATAGTAAAAATTTATTTTTTACTAAGTTAATTAAATTTCAAAAATAATTAAA